TACACCAAGTGCTAGGGAAAGGGAGTGTCTGTACCACTCTAATACAAATGTTTGAATTGCTGGCACCACAGTGAGAGATGCTAGATGATGATGTGAAAACCTGGGCAACTGGCTGTAGGTGGCCCTGCTTGAGCAGAGGGTTGGACTAGATGACCTCTAGAGGTCCCTTCCAACCTCAACCCTTCTGTTTTACAAACCTGTAACCTGATCAGTTTTTAACCGAAAAAGTTTACATCCTTCAGCAGCACTGAGTTTGTTTGCCTTTATCTGACTGTGTTTCCCTGAGCAGCTTTTTATGCAGAGCAACCACTGCTCCATGTAGCAGTGAACAGTGTGAAATTGTACCAAGGAGTATGGATATGTTGCTGCTTACCGAAGTGCATGTGCATTTTTTTTTGGTGGAGAGGCATGCATGTTAATGCTGTCTGTATTGCTCTTCACAGTCTCAGCTCTCAGTTGAAAGTCTGTAAAGTTTTCTTGCAAAGAGAAATTTGCACATATTTTAGGTGAGGTTGGAGCAATTAACTCCCTGAGTGGTTTTTTTTGTTTGTTTGTTTTTTACATATAGAATATGGTGCTAGAAATCTGGAAAGCTTGTTTCCCCATCTGCTGTGAGAACAGCCTTCTGAGCTTTCCTGAGAACAATGATGGAGGCAGTCTTCTCTGAGCTTTCAGAAACATGTAAAATTCTGGGCTCTGGTTCAAAAAAAAAAACAAAAAAAACAAAAAAAACAAAAACCTGCAAGAGCAACTTTTTTAAAGAATCTGCAAGCTTGATTCTGAAGGCTGGTGACATGCTGACCCCTTCTGCCAGAACTGGAATTTTATTCAGAACAAACAAGGTGAATTGCAGACTTGCCTATTACCTGCATTTTTCTGAGTACAGCCACCTCAGAAGGGAGACTTAGCTGAACTTCTTTGGGGAAAACATCCATCAAAATACTTCAGTAGAATATCCACTGAAACACATCCAAATGCCTATTTAGCACAACAGCTGCATCCATATAGATCACTACAATGATGGGCTCTGAGCAAGTGCCTCCACAGTTAAGGAAATCAGAAGGTCCTAAAGCAGTCTCAGATAGACCTTTGCTCCACTGCAAGCATTGAGGTAGCACAGCCCCAGAAGAGTTATTCAGTAATTCATTTCTACCATCATACTGTGATTTTAAGACATGGATTTTGTTTGGGGGACATATTTTATTTTGTTTTAGATATAGCTAAATGTAAAGTTCAGATCCTTATAGCTAAAAAGTCATATTATACATCTCCTCAAAATATATGCCTTTTAGTTACTACGGATAATCAGGTCTGATTTTACAAGTTTTGTTCACATTTTATTAAAGATATAACAGTAAGACCTGTTGAATAGGACAGAATTTAATTGATATTCATGCATTGGTAGATACAGACAAAAATAAGCACACCTACTTGCAGTCAAAGCTATGCAGACATGACTCAGCTGTGCCGTGGAAGCTACACATTGGTTTAAGTTATGAATTGTGCTTGAGTAGAGTTTTTCAGCTGAGGCATAGCCTCTTATGTACATGGCTTTTGGATCAGATTTGCATCTCTTCCTGAATGTCTACAAAATATAAGTTGTGAATGCCCTGCTCCTTTGTAACTGAGGGTATTATTTCTTAATCAGTGTTTTAGCAGTCACTAAAGAATACACACAACTGAGCTGAAAATTTCAGGAATGTGCATGCAAGTAAAAATATACAGAATGTCATAAGGAAGCTAGTTACAGTCACAGTTCATGTCAGGGAGCTGGATAATTTGCCCCTGTTCATCTTCACTGGTGCCTGGTATTTCCAAACAATTAATTCAGTTACCATCAGTTTAGCAGTTTCAGCTCATAACCTTACAGAAATACAGTTCTGGCTGGAGGACAAAGCTTTGCTCCATGGCTCTTATGTTACATTTTCAGTCTCAAAATTTTTCCATTTAAAATCTCAGAGGTTTCCTAAATTTATGTATTTAGGTTTCTTAGCAGACTTTGCAAAAACAGTGAATGAGTGGCAATAAGGCATATGCGCGTTTGGGATACCTGCCAAATTTTCCACCTCTTTGATTTTTCACTTATGTCCCATCCCTAGAGTAACTTAATACAGTCATATAAAAGCTAAAATTGTATAGATTTTCAGAAGTGCTTCAGAGTTTCACAATGAGATTTACAGCCAATTCATAATTCATGTTATAAGTGCTCTAACACACAATGGAGTTGCTGCCATTTAAACAACTTGGTTTGGTTTTTCATCTTGATTATTATTCCCCCTAGTACTTCTGATTTTAGAATATGTTAGTGGTTTTAACATATAGGATAAAGGATTAATTTTAATAGTGTCTTCCTGCATTAGACAGAATTCACGAAAATCTTAGATTCTCAGCAAAATTAGGCAACTGAGCATCATCTTTTTTTTTTGTTTTGTTTTATTCATTAAAACTATCTTGAATGGTTTCTTTCTGGCTGTGCAGTAACAAAAGGCATTGCAAAAGTGGTTAGCAATTTCAATGAAAGGGTCTCTAGAGAAATGCAAAATTCTGAACAGCATCTATTAATAATGGCTGGCATTGCTGAAAAGCAGCCATGTAGCATGTAAGTGTAAGGAAAGGGAGACTGAAGGCTGATCCCAGGAGGTACTTCTCTTTGCAGTTATTATATGTCTAGGCTAACATTTTCTGATTACCTCCCTCACAGCATCACTACAGTACTGAAAGAAATTAGTCATATGTAAGCAAGGAAGTAATGTACTGCCCTTGACAGAGAAAGGTTCTGACAAGTGAAATATGTGGGCTTGGTCTGACCAGTTTGGGGAGATTCTCCCTGCAGTTCAAGGATAACAGGATTAAGCTCTCCTAGTGTGCCCTGCATGCAACATAAGTAAATAGAAATGGACAGCAAGACACATGTTGGGGAAGCAGTGTAAGTGGTTCCTACAGAAGATGTATCCTGTATCATTAGGAGAAAAACTAAGGCTTTTCAAGGGCCCCAGGAGGAGGCAGAGATGTAATGATTTCTGCAACACTGCCTGCCTTTAACCACAGCTGCCTCCTCCCTGCAATGAGGAAGCACTGGGAGGTTCTTCAGGGATATAGGACCAGTCTCAGCTATCCTCCTGCTCATTCCTGAGATACTAAGTGCTCTCTACTGCTGGGCTGTGGATGAGCAGCCTAAGGACTTTTGCCTGAATCTTTCTGTCCTGTATCAAGTTACTCACTGTCTCTTAAGAGACAAGAAGAAACAAATAAAAAGAAAACAAGAAGAACAGAAATGAATTCTTGATGAGCAGATTTTTTCATTAATTTTATTAGAATAGTATGCTGTATCTGCTTTTATTACTTCCAGTGCTATAAACTCCTTTTTAGATAAGGATGTGTCTTGCTAACCACTTGTTAACAGTAACACTTTTCTGCACACTCCTTTCATAACGAGCTGGGCACTTTCCTTCTTCTCACACTGATTTTATACTTCTCAATAGGAAATTGTTTTAAATATTAGCTCATTGGCAAGGACAGAAAACACATTAATTAAAATGGACAGAAAAAGTACTTCTATAGTAATACTCAGCTCTAAAGCTGTAGCCTTTACTACAAAGTTTTAAAAAGGTTATATAGAATAGTAACTCTCTCTTTCATGGACCTTTTATCTCCCTGCATTTAAAATCTTATGTGTTCTGTTTTCCTCTCAAAGGCCAAGATTTCAAAAGGGAATATGTTTCTATTTCAGCTCATGCATTAGACACATCATTGTTAGCGAAGTTCACTCTGCACAATCTTTACTAACAGGGCATGCCTGAGCCTGACCAAAACAAAGCTTAATTTTTGTGTTGTGTTTGCTACAGCAGTAGTCAGAAAGAATTTTACACCTACCAAATGAACAGACAAGGAGCCCCAATTAATCATTTGATATATCATTTCCTAGAGGAAGACTAAGCTCAATAAAATTTCGATTTAATTTTCAATATGATTGCCCATAATTTGGATAGTCATTATAGGTATGATTTCATTTCTAATGATAATGAAAAGCTCTGTGTAATTTCTGATTATCTGTCTTAAATTGATGAACTCGTCCTTACCTCTCCAGATAATCATGTATGGTACTGATTTTATCCTTATTTGAAAGTTCTATGATGCTTTCTAAAAAACTGAAGAAAAACCATCATCAGACAGAATCCTAACATAATGTTCAAGAGATGCAGCAAAAGCTTCAGCAGTGCTTCAGTGTCTGCTGAAATAAAATAACTCCACACAAATTAGCTTTTACAATCTTGCCGAGGCTTAAAAATAAGTTTTTTTAAAATAACGCATTTTTAAACTGAAGAACATGCGTAGAATCGAATAGCAGCACCAAAGAAACAAAACTAATAAAAGCTTTTTGAAAAATATATTATGATAGATGACATTTACGTCAGACAAATTAAGTCAATAGCTGGCAGGAAACTTGGGATATCCACCTATCTCTTTGAGTACCTAGTAATATATAAGGCGAGGAACTAGGAAGCTCATAAAAGTAGAAATACTAGTAGTCAAGCATATCCCTTCTTACTTTTATTCACATTAAATCAAATTGTTTCTGGTAGTGCAAACACTGTTTCCTGATTTAAAGTAGCTGCAGATAAGAACTGTTGAGTCAAGATTCTCTCTCCTTATGAATGTACAATATAAAATGAAATAGAGTTGGATTATTTGAGTCGAACTGCTGGATTTGAATTATTTGGATTGGTTTGGACTAGTTTGGATTAGTTGTATTGTGTCTAATTTAAAAGTGTATTATCTGTACTGCTTTTCTTTGCATATAGTACTTTGACATCAAATAGTCATAAGAATTAGAAATGGGAGTAAGTTGGTAGTGTGTTTTACTTTGTCTTTCCATTGCTGCTTACAAAGCATTTCCAAGGCAATGAATGTAAAACAATAACTAAGGTTGCCCTCATTTTTGCTCTGATTCTGTTCTTCAAATGACATTTTGACAAATGTTCTTCATTATATCTTTACAGCTGCAGTTTGTGATGGAAAATTTATGTTGACTGATTCCTCTGGGTTTTTTCACTCTATGAATTATCCAAAACCATATAATGCAAATATTGTTTGCCAATGGATTATACTGTAAGCCATTTTCCAATAATTTTCTACCTAACATATTTTTTTTATGAGGTGATCTTGTTTCCTGCACATCAACTTTCTGCCATTTCTTTGTATTCCCAAATACCCCATCATGGAAAATACATAATAACATTTTCTCCTTTCTATTTATGAAACTTCTTTTTCAAAAGTTGCATGCCTAAAACCTATAACTATATCAATAATTTTTCCACTTACAAAAATGCTTCGGTACGACTTTGAGAAATCTTGTGTATTATATGCATACACAGGAACATATTTGTAAGCTCAAAATAAATCACATACTTCAAAATAATTGCAAGATACCTGTTTCAAAGTATTACAGCAAATACTAGTCTCTAGGTAATGGTTTTATATTATAAAACTATTACTAATAGATGGAATTTTCAAGAATTCCCTTGTCATTTATGGATACACATATCACCTGGGAGTTAACAACACTTGTGCTCCTAAGTCTTTTAAGAATATATTTTAAAAGCCCATGAATATCATTTAACATAAAAGCACCAAATTCCTTTTAAGCCCTAGGCACAAGAGGTGGAATTTGTTTAATCAAGGATACATGCCTACAGGGACAGACAGCTATTTGTCTTTGATACTCTAGGTCCACTTCGCAGGCCAGGGAGAAAAAAAAAAAATAGCCATAGTGTGTGATAAATGCTATCCTAATGTACATCTAACATAAGTCAGATGATTGCAAGTTGTAAGCTCCTAAAAATCCCTGCAATGACAGCCTATTCAGAAGTTACTGATGAAAGTTACCTACTGAAAGGCAGTAATTTTTATTATAGTTTCATAATAATGTCTGTTCTTTGATTCTGAGAAGTATTAGTTTTGTAGAAGAGTATCAAAGGAGATTAAGCAAATGCCTTCAAAATCAGATAAGATTTGGACTTCTTATTCCCAAGGCTCCTTTGAAAGTGCTAGCCTTTGAGTTTGCTCAGGATTTTCTTCTTCACCTTGACGATTCAGGAAAAAGTCATACTTTTCCTTCTGTTTAGTACATTTGTTCCTTCTCGTGTTCAGCAATACTATTCACCAATAATTACTAGCTACATCTGGTTTTAAAATGTACCTGTGTCACAGGAAAAGCACAATATTCTATCCTTTAGAATATAAGCCTGACTTGTTCCTCAGTTCATGGTGTCACAGAATTTGAGCACCACAAATAATCATGTCTCAAGTGATCTACTTCCTTCTAAGTGTTAATTTTGCTTCAAACACTGCTATAGCTGCAAGAACCCATTGTATTAGGTAGATATCTATACCAGGTATGTAGCTAACAAATGCTTAGTTTTGGAAGGAATCATGAGTAATTGCAGATAATATAGTACAGATGCTGCAGATTTGTCTAAATACAGATTTATCAATGACAAAACCAACCGTATGGTTTTATTTTCCAGTTATCTGCTTTTAAAAAAAATCTGGCAACACTAATTCATGGAATCATAGAATCATAGAATCATTAAGGTTGGAAAAGACCTCAAGGATCGTCAAGTCCAACCATCAACCCAACACCACCTAACTCACTAAACCATGTCCCTAAGCACCCCATCTACAAGTTTCTTGAACCCCTCCAGGGATGGTGACTCCACCGCTTCCCTGGGCAGCCTGTTCCAATGCCTGATCACTCTTTCAGTGAAGAAATTTTTCCTGATATCCAGCCTAAACCTTCCCTGGTGTAACTTGAGGCCATTTCCTCTTGTCCTATCACTTGTTACTTTAGAGAAGAGGCCAGCACCCATCTCACTACAACCTCCTTTCAGGTAGTTGTAGAGAGTGATAAGGTCTCCTCTCAGCCTCCTCTTCTCTAGACTAAACAACCCCAGCTCCCTCAGCCGCTCCTCATAAGACCTGTGCTCCAGACCCTTCCCCAGCTTCATTGCCCTTCTCTGGACCTGCTCCAGCACCTCAATGTCCTTCTTGTGGTGAGGGGCCCAAAACTGAACACAGGATTCAAGGTGTGGCCTCACCAGTGCCAAGTACAGGGGCACAATCACTTCCCTAGTCCTGCTGGCCACACTATAGCTGGTGCAGGACAGGATGCCATTGGCCTTCTTGGCCACCTGGGCACACTGCTGGCTCATGTTCAGCCAGCTGTCGACCAGCACCCCTAGGTCCCTCTCTGCTGGGCAGCTTTCCAGCCACTTGGCCCCGATCCTGTAGCGTTGCAGGGGATTGTTGTGACCAAAGTGCAGGACCCTGCACTTGGCTTTATTGAACCTCATACAATTGGCCTCAGCCCATTGGTCCACCATTCACTGCGGTACTCAAATTTTGTCTTCCTTTTGAACAGAATTGTTTCTATGAGGGAACCTTTTGGATTTTCCAGTAAACAATGAGAGACAGTTTCTCCTCTCACTTTATTATCCCTATCAAAATGTGTTAAAAGTCACCCTATAACACATGCAAGATTTGATTTGTCTTCTACCTTTCTTTGTCTATAAAGATTTCCACATATATTTATGAAAAGTTTTTACATTTCCACTCCATTTAACTCCTCCCTGAATGAAGCTTTTATTTCCTCTCCTTTCAAAAATGAGAGCAGTATGCTCAATATTTCCCTTAGCTTCAGGATTAGCTTCAGGATTAGCTTCCTGAAAGGTTACCTTTCAATTAAATGGTTTACTCTTTTCAAACCAAGGATTTTTTTTTTCCAATGGAGAAATAAATAACAAAAGAAAATCCAGAAGACAACAAATAGTGGTACAGTAAGCTAAGCTGATTGTGATGGTAGGGTTTTAGAATGTGGAATATTGTATATGTTTAGCGGAAAGGCAATGGGAGACCTACTTAGATACAGATTACTGAAAGAACAGAACTGCAGCAAAACAAAACTCAGTACATTTTACACTTTAGTTACAGTGACTTTTGTTATTAAACTTACTGGATGATGGTTAGGTTTGATAACATGTTCCCATACAGTGGGTTTGGGATCCCCAAACCTCATGCAAATACTGTTTTTCTCATAAGAAGCATTATTTTGGGCTTGTAAATTAATAAGATGCAGAGAAAAAGAAAAGAAAAAAAAAAACACAAAAAAACTCTTCAGATGAAATTCAGATTCTATAGTTTAGAAGATTCAATTCCTAAAACATATACTTCATTCTACTGAGTAAAGGATTACTTGCACTGTTACAAAAGGTTTATGGTAATAATTTACAAACTAGAATTCAACCAAATAGCTAAACTTGATCAATAAACTTGATTAATGTAATTTTACTTTGTTTCTGAACTTAGGATCATTTGAGCATGCAATTAATTTACTGCAGTCAAAAAAAGATTACTAGAACATGACTTTCAGTTTTGAGGTTTATTTTTCTTTTGTTATCTTAGAGTGCCTCAAGGGTTATCCATTAAACTGAACTTCACTTCTTTTCATACGCAAGAATATGCAGACATTTTAAATATTTTTGAAGGTATAGGCCAAAACAAGATTTTAAGAGGTAAGAATATTTTTCAGCTAATATTACGTTTCCATTAATAAAATCTAAGTGGTAAAATAAGTGTTTTAAAGTGAAAAAAGACTGTATGCCTATATTCAAGTGGAAGAATGCATTGGCATAAAGTTTTCCCTGTTAGACAACTGAACTTGATATACTTATCTACTCTTACAAAAAGTGGAAATAAGTTGTAAGAAGATCCTGCAATATCACAGACAGTGACATAAAATGAAAGCAACTAGAGTGAAGCTGTTGGGAGAAGTATTGTGGTACTCCCTGAAATTCATTACAAGCATGGCACTGCTTTCCTCAGACACTGAAATATTGATGATACCTTATCTCTGTCTCTACATTCTGTTCTGGTAAAAAGGTTTTGCACATTTTTTACAAGACTCAGTCTATCCAGCTGAATTCCATCAGAGGTGGCATACATGTACTTGAAGATAAATATACAGGGATAAGTCAGAAAGATATATTATTATTTAACCTTGTTTGTGGAAACAGGGGGAGAATGGGAATGAGAAATAGCAAAGGACTCATAAAATAAAGAAAGGAGAAATTCTACCCTTTCAGTACTGCTTTGAATTTAACCCCCCTTTGGAATTTCAATTTAGATTTGAGAGATTGCTTCAATAATATGCTCTGCAGCAGCCACTAGCTTGCATGGTTTCAGGGACTGCTATGGGGATGACCAGTGATACCACAAACACTTGAAGACAATGTTAAAGACTGTCTTTCACTGGATTGCCTAAAACCTTGCAGTTTGAGGGCTAGATTTACAGGTACTAGAAATACCAAATGTAGAGGAAAGAAGGATTAGAAGACATTTCCAGACTAATACTCTCCATTTAAGTCAGTAAAAGAACCTGAGAAGGAGGAAGGAAAATAGCACACATATAATTAAAAGTGTGAGAGATGACATCCAATGTCTTTCCTTAATAATTTGTCACTGTTTCAATTATATAGTATTACAAGTACGTAAATAGCTCTTCCTCAGAAAAGTAGTCTCTCTATTTGTGAAAAATTGGGCAAGGACTTTGGAAGAAAAAGAGCGGAGGCAAAACCTTTCACAGAACAGTGATGAATTCAGGATTTTCTTTATCCTGAATGCAATCACTAATCTAACGGTTGTTGCCTATATCAGCTGTAGATGGAGGAGTAACTATTTTACTTTGTGTTGACTTGTATCAATCCTTTCACACATCTGGATTTTTTTATGAGTGAGTATAAATTAATTTATAATTTAAAGTTAAATCTGGATACATTGCACCACAGAATCATAGAACAGCCCAGGTTGGAAGGGACCTGTGGTCCAACCTTTCATGGAAGATGGAGCTTAATGAGATTATCTAACACCCAGTCACTTCTCAGAACATTGTAATTCTTCCTGTGCTATATGCCTTCATGTGTACATTCCAAAATGAAATACCTATGCAATTTCATAGTTTCCTTACGCTTTGACTACCTGTAAGTGTGTGCTAATTATTAAATTGTGAGAGTAAATAAATATAATAACAATATACAGTCAATACTGTGATTATAGAGCTTCAGAGTGCGTATCTGTAAGTTCTGGGAACATTAACAGCATCGTAAACATGGATATGAAGATTATAGTATTGAGTATGGGTACTAAGAGACATTTCTCCACTAGCTGCTATCCATATGGATGTATATGAGAGATGGAATATGCAGAATACTTACAGGGCAGCCAAATAGCTAAATGCCTTCAGGGTTTTGAAGCTACTGTAGACAAGATCACAGTATAAGAGGGAAAAGCATTCTTTAAGACTAAAAAAACTAATCCATTGTATTTTTGTGACAGCACTGGAGATTTTATTGTGCATGACATTGTTTTCTCTGACTGTATTATTCTTTATTTGTTCTCAGCTTCTCTGTCAGGGCCTAATCCTGAGACAATTTACATTTTTTCTCATGAGGCTACAGCACTGTTTATATCCGATTATTCTGAAAATTACAATGGCTTTAACGCAATGTACACTGCATTTAATGCAACTGAACTAAACAGTAAGTGTTATTTTTCTCTGTGTGCATTTGTTTGTTATCCCAAAAGCCTGGTGAAACTATTTTTTCAGTTTGACAAAATGGAGATGAAAAGGTAAGCCATATTTTCTGGCTTCAGTCCAGTAACTAGATCTACTTTGAGAAAATTCATACTATTTTAAAGATCAAATCATTGACTTCAGTAAGACTGTCCACAAGCTTACAGGCCTGTATCTAGCAGTAGGGTGATGTCTTACAAAGCTAATCTGTTAAAATAAAAGAATAAAACTCTGGCTATATCTCCATCAGATTCCCCTCAGGCAGTTTGTTCACTAATGCCCACTGTTGAATCACTGACACTAATCATTATTCTGTGATCACCTGACAGTACCTGGTCTCGAGAGTTTCTGACGTCCTAACTTATTGCCACAATCAATAGTCCCAAATGGTAAAACTAACATTTCGGAAAATACCTGCTTCAGTAAATAAGATTGGAAAAATTCCACATGCAGTAAATCTACAGTGACAACAAAATGCAGCAATATGACTCATGCATTGGTGTTTTTTATTAGAAATAAATGTAGACGCAGATTGGGCAAGTGAAGATGTCTTCAGTTGCTAAATTTTGAGCACGATATGAATAGGGAATGTAACTGGGAAAGGATATGCTGCAGGAAGCATCCAGAGTGCCAGCAAACTCTTGTCGTGTGGAAGCCCTTGCTGGAGGCTGAACTGCACTTCAAATCACCTTGAAAAGACACTGAGCAAAATATTATGGGAAGAAAAGTCATGAGGATGTTGCAGCAAATATGTGTGTGCAAAGAAAGAGCAAAGGAGAAGACCAAGGAAAGGGGCATCCCTGGTGCATGCAGCACAGTAGTTATCTTCTGCGCATTCAGGTCTGGTGGTGAGCCATTTCATCTGGACCAACCCAGGTTTTGGCAAAGAAAAGAGAAAAAGAGCAGGGTTAGCCCTTCGTCTTAGCTATGCAAGGGGTCCCTTCTCATTCCCCCACCACATTACTGGCGAAGGGTCAAAAAAGAAGGTTGATGCATGAGTGCAAGAGCATGTAGGGCCACCTTCAGTGATAGTATTTTGTTAAAAATTACAGATGACACATTTATTTGAGCAATTATGTTGCCTTGCATAGAAGAGGAAATTGAGTAACCGAGGGCTCCAATTTTCAACCACATTTAAGAATTTACATTGTTCATCACTCATTCTTATGTAATTCTGAGAAAATGTTTAATATCTCTGTCATTTTTATTTACTAGAGTTTCTTATTCACAGATTATGAGAAAGTCAATTGCACTTTTGAAGATGGTTTTTGTTACTGGATACAAGATTTAAATGATGACTCAGACTGGGAGAGAGTTCAGGGCCCTACCTTTCCCTTTATGAGTGGTCCTGATTTTGATCATACATTTGGCAACATGTCAGGTAAGATCAAACACAAGTTGCTTACAGATTAAAGGAAAAGCTTGATTTAGCTTATGTTATACCACTGTAAAATGGATTCTTCACAGTGGTATTATTGGGATGTAATTTTATTCTACTCTATAAATGAGTCAGGGCAACCAGACAAAACTCCTTATGCTACTGATTGCCATCTTGTGGAAATATACCAAAACTAAAAGAAGAAACAAAGGAATATATAAAGTGATTAAAGTGTGAGGTATTGAAAAGTTTCAAAGCTATTAATATGCAAAAGTGCCTTATCTGAGAAAGAAATTTCTATTGCACAACAGTGTTATAGGTCAAACAACCTTAAGGAAAAAACCAAGCATATTTACATTTTAGGGAAATCACTTTTATTTCACCCCTGTCTACTGGTGGCATCCTCATGATTGTCACAGGATAATTTTGAGTTAACATAAAGTTGACCTGCAGGGTACATAGGGCACCCGTGTCCCCAGCTAGAATCACAAACCAAACACACTAATTTTCAACACGTACGGAAAACACACCCTCCAGCAACTGCTATAGCAAAACAACTTAATCAGAAGAGTGATTATATCAAATGCGAGTTTTAATTAAAGAAACAATACTGCAAGGAATTAGATTTTGAATGTCTATCACAAATGCCTATCCCAAAATTAGACTCCAAAAGTTTTAATATCTGCTTCAAGAAGAAAATCAAACAATCTCTTTCTCTGTTGATTTGTCAGTCCAGCTAAAACTAATTAACATAATTTGGGTTTTGCAATGGCTATATGTATTCTGTTCAAGACTTATACAGAACTTATTCAGTGACAAATAACTGGAAAAAACACAAATTATTCTGGAAGAAGTTACTCCCAGGAAAAGAAAAATACTATTCAACATGCTATTGGATAGAAATTTTTTTTTTGTACTTACTAAAATGTTCTCATTATCTTGCAGGATTTTATATTTCAACACCCATAGGACTAGGGTTCGGAGAAGAGAGAGTCCGGATTATGAGTTTGCCTTTGGTCTCTTCAGATCCATATTGTCTAAGCTTTTGGTATTCTTACATAATTCCTAAACATATATTTAGTTCAAGAATAAAACCAAATAGCTTTCTTTCATATATAACATTCATCCAAGTCAGTGTGCCAGCAATAAAAACCTACTTTTGTTTGTATTTTCATGATCAGTCTGAACTCTAGGCTTGGAACTTTGACTCCTTTATAGCTTTGAGTCTTGAAGTTAGCTTTAATGTGTTTTCTTTCTCACCCTGCATACAATATTAATTTCTATACAGAAATTATATTAAGAATCCCTGAAATGTTTTTTGTCATGAAGCTTAACCAGTCCTCTGTAGAAAATATAGCAAAGTACGAAGTAAATCTTCCAGGTATAATCTAAACATAAGATTAATTTTATTTTCATGCTCACTGAATATTAGTCCTAATTCCACAAAACCATTTATAAAATAAAAGGCCTAGTATTTTTTAACGAAATTTCACTTTCTTCTAATAATACCAAAATTGCTCTTCCTCCTCAAGGTATTTCATGTACAGTCCTAATGTTTACCGTTTAAGTGTTAGTATAACTAATGAGCATGGTTTGGAAAAGATCATTTTCCAGAAAGAAGGAAACTATGGAAACAACTGGAATTATGGACAAGTAACTCTAAACGAAACATCTGATTTTAAGGTTTGTTAAACTGCTTGTTATTTTTTAAATTTATTTTAGCTAAACTGATATCAGAGTTTTCTGCCAAATGAACTAAATGACCCACAGCTCTAAAGATAGTATCTAGTACTATTTACTAATGCATGCCATCAAATAAATGTTAGCATTCAGAAGACTGGAGTCCCCAGTTGTCATCCCCCCCCCCCCTGGAATTTAAAGTGTTATTATTGTAGAAAAGAGAAAATCTTAACATTGTTGTGGGACAATCAATGTTATACTGAAAGAGAGCTTTCCACAAAACAAGGGTTTTCAAAGCCAATCAAAATCTATGTGGACTTTAAAATCTTGACATTGTGTGTGATATGAAGCACTTAGCCATGAGAGTATTTCAGATTCTGAAGCACTACTTTCACTAATTAATTACAGAATAATTCACTGCAAATGTGTTCCAGATCTAAGTTTATCTGGGGCCACATGGCTAACAACTGACTTGACTTATTGGTAAACAAAAGGAGGAGATTCATGCTAGAGAATCCCTTCAGCAACTTTCTATTGAGAACACTTTCTTTTTATAGGTATTTGGGATGGCTTGTCCTGCTATAGTAGTTTTGATTGATGCAAAATCACTGCCAGAAAGAAGCATTTACCATCTGAGGAAGTAAATGCATCTGTGACCTGGCTTCATCAGATTTCCAGCAAATGTGTGTTTTATGATCTCAGGAAGAGTGCTATACCTAGCTGTATTTCACCAGCACAAATTCCTTGGTAGCAGGATTACTTTAAATATGTGGATATTAAAGCACAATACAAACAAATGAGATTAATTTCAATTTTTCATGGAGATATGCCATTAGATCAGAAGTTTGGACTGATGAGTGATACAGAATTTGTGTTTCAAAAATTACATGTATTTATATATAAAAAGTAAAACGATTGAATAGTTTTAAATCATGTTCATAATTTATACAAAGAAGTTCCTGCATTCCTTAGAATAATCCACTAAGTATGCAGTGTTGTTCTGTTCTTCAAGGAATCCTGTCTCATCCTTGATGCCTTCCTCTGAGTGTAGCACCAGTGTAGATTATAGTGGAAATCAGAGCATTCAAGAAAGAAGACAGAATGGCTCAGCACAGGAAGCTGAAAAATGTTTCATTAAATTATAAAATTCTAATTTTTTTTTATGAACTTCAGATTACTTTTGATGGTTTTAAAAAGCGTGGTCCCAGTGATATTGCCTTGGATGACATTGGCCTGACAAAGGGAAGGTGTAATGAAAGTATGTATGTAGAGCCAACTGTGATTCCAGCTGTTACTCCTGCCCCTTCAGTTCCCAGTAAGTAAACACTAAATTACAGTTGATTGTCATTTCCTATTACTGTATTTGTGTTTGACTGATTCAGAACTTTAAACCTTCTCTTTTAGAAAAATCTTTCTTCAGCATTATAAAATTATCTCTGAAAGATCAGGTTCCCTGCCCATGGCTCCACTGATAGCTACAGAACTGGTAAATTCATAGTCTAAGCTATCAGTACAGTATCTTCCAAAACTGTAAGAGCAGAGGATAATTAAAGAATTCAGGATTTCTCTCTAAACGTTTCAGTTAGTAAAGCTTCCAGGAAGCCACTGAAAGGGAAGGAAGAAGAAAGAGTAGGAAGATTACAACCTCTGTATTTGAAATTATAAGCAATGTAGCAGAGGAATAAGAGAATGAGCAAAGTCACATAGTAATATTGCCAGAGGTCTCAGTAGTAGAAATTCACCAAATTCTGTGAACACATGCACACTGAAAAATCCCATTTTTAGGGGAAAGAATCTATAATAGTGTCAGAATGGTTGAAGAATGGAGCACGATCTATGTGAGTGTCTAAAATTGCTCACAATGAATGAGTTCTTTCCAATATGAATTTGACTGCATTGTTATTTCTACTCTATGCGCTTACATTAAAAATGAAAAAGAAAGCAATATTTACTTTGAAAATAAATTAAATAGGGAAACAGAAAGGGCAAAAAGATAGCAGTTATTCTGGTTTTGGAGTAAATGAGTGGACCAAAAAAATAAAAGAACTCTTTCCACTCCCCGATCTAAAGAGAGGTTTCAATATATGCATAAATTATGGAATGTGTCAAAACCTAAGCCCGACTTCTTCAATTTTGCATTTGCTAACTCTACTCCTTGTGGAAAGGCAAGAGTGATGAGTAGGTGCTTGCTCTAGTAATAATGGATGGGGCTTTTTTCCAGTGTAATGGGTCCTCATCTCATTTCATCTCACTATCTTCTTGGCACCTCTTCTGAATCCCAGGTTCATTGGGAAGCTGGAGGAAGATTGGATTTTTTTGCTCATTTTTGCCATCTTCTGCAAGTCAAGTAGAAGTTAATGAAACATGAAATGTCTTTGCCTATAGCACATATGCGCTTCTGCAGACTGGTTGTACTGCTTGATCAAGAGCCATCACACTGCAGAGTTTTTCAGAGGAAAGCACAGAGGTTTAAGCTTCCTCAAAACATTCTAGTTTCACAGAGCTAGTTACAAGAATCTTACTGAGAAAAATCTGGAAAAATACCTGTAGCCAACATTATAAATCTGGAAAATGTATATAAAACAATGAAGAAAGATTACATATGGTGTTGACCAGATCTACACATGTTCAAAGCAAAAACTGGTACAAATATGAACAGAGCTTGTGGAAAGAAGTCATTATAACATCTGAAAGGGCTTTGTAATTTATTGTGCTGTAATAGGGCTGATAGGGCTTTGTAATTTATTGCCTCCCATTAGATCTATCGCCACTTAAAAAGCACATCAAGTTGCTCTCTTGACATCATATAGTAAATAAAAATGGTCTAAAACTAAAATAATATAAAAAGACTTTTTGTATTGTATTCACGTTTAAGTATTGTGTACTAATATTATCATTCTATCAAATCTATCACCTCTAAATCTACTGCATCAGGACAGGTAGGAAAACAAAACCTTCTAAATTTAAGAGTAAAATTCAAGTTTTATAGTTCCATTCTGAGACACAAGGTGGTTTTCTCTGTCAGCAAAATTAAATTTTAATAACACTGGTCTTTTCAGTCACAATTTACTAAAGTGAGTTTTGGAATTTGATTGTAGTTTTCATTAAAGTAATACTATGGAGAGATCTGCCACCTCCAGGCATCTTTCAGGTGGTGTGGGCAAACGTACCTCACAAGGTAGCAACAGTCTAACTATTACTCGTAGAACGAACCTGTGGTAAATAGTAGCTGAGTGCTGCTGTCCAAACAGCAAAGAACTGTCACTCACACTATAGATCTCTACCCAAAATATCTCAATAAAATTTTAAGGTTCAAAAAAAGGAAGCGGTTATGTGCCGTATAGCTCCTTGTGAAACAGAATAGAGAGATTCCATACTGTCCTTCAACACGATACAAAAACACAGTCTAAGCTGTCGCTGGGGAAAAACTAAGTGGTTTGCATAACTTTATTGAGGCATGCTACATATATTCTATCTGCCACCTGCTGAAAAAAAAGGTGAATCTTATCAATCATCTTCAAAGAAGTATGAAAGTACTTTGATGGATATGGTGCAAGCTTACTAACACTAATATTTTCACTACAAATGTCATGTCTATAAACAAGAGATGAAAGAATTTGATCTGAGCCAATCTCTTTTGCTAGATGTAGAGCTTTGGCAAGAGGCACTGGCATCATTCAGAGTGCCACAAAAGCTCATTGAAAAGTAAAAAAAAAGGCTTAGGTGGTAGGATAGGGAAGATGGATTTGGTTTTGTCTTTTGCACAAGACTGTCAGCTTACACTTTCATCTAAAACAAAGATTGCTTTCATCTTCATATTCATTCATAACCTGTCTTTTAACACAAACAACAGTGTGGAAATTGCAGCGTAGATTCCACACTTAACCTGTGTATGTCAATATAAATTAAAGTTCTGAGTAAAGCAGAGAGCATTTTTTTTATTAATTGGTCATATATCATTTTCTACAGTGTTGAGAAAATCTTCTGTTATTCTCAGTGAAAGGACCAAGATTGTTGGTGCTTTTTGCTATTTGGTTCTCTAATGAGTAACAGTTATACCAATAACTCCATATAAATTCATGTTTAAAGATCACTGGAAATTTTTAAAACATTTTTTCCACACATAAGCAAAATCAATTACTTTTATTGGTTTCCCATGAAAGAGAAAGAAGATCATTACTAATGTACCTCACATGTAGCCAACACCAGATCAGATTTCATCATAACTCGTCCCTGTTCTGCTATTAAGAAAGTTGGTTTTGCTCTGCTCATATCATCAGATGATACCGGCTAAGAATCATATATTCTTCATGCAGCTTTACAATCCTTACGTGTCTCTGCATGCAGTAATATTCCATTAAAACAAGAGCCAATGTAATTTTTTTTTTTGTTGCTAATGGTATTTACAGAAAGTAGTCCTCATTGTGAGCCATATGGCTGACGCATAATATATTTCTTAGTCAATGTGTGATTGTTAACAGTTCCTTTTCCTTTCAGAAACTTGGTGCTTCTTGCTAGGAGTGATTTGGTAAAAGAGGAAGTTCTACAAGATGGCTGTAATGAGAAAGTTCAAACTGATCTAGGTGTTCCTGCTCCGGCAGGGGGATTGGACTAGATGATCTTTCGAGGTCCCTTCCAATCTCTAACATTCTGTGATTCTGTGATTCTGTGAAACCTCTCTTGTATTTAGTGGGGCTTCCTCCCAGTGGGTTTCAATGGGCAAACTCAACGATTCAACGATTTGTAGATTATGTAGTCCCCAACCAAGTGGTCAGAGTATGCAACACTGACAGACATAATGAAACACAAAATTCCAGCCATGGCCAGCGGGGAGAGAGGGAAGTGTTAAAGTTTAGCCAAAGTCTGAAAGTTAAACAAATCATTTTTAATTCAAAGAACAAAACAACAACAAAACAAAATTTCTTCTCCCTTAACTTCTATTTCCTGAAGCAGGTGGGGGAACACTTTATTTTTTAATAAAGTAATTGTGAACAACAGAAGTGGGAAAACACCCAAGTTCATTCTAATGGTACAGCTGAAATGAAAATCAATAGTATTTCAAATAGTATATGAAGCTGATGTAGATCACCATCCAAACTATATATTGAAAATGAATATTGAATATATGAAGTATAGTTAGCTATGTCTATGTGAGAGTGTGTGTATATACATATCTACAATATTGGGTTTTAAATAAATTTTATTCATTTTTATAAATACATATATATATTTATGATAAAGACCTTTCTTACTGGAGCAGTTGTTTCAAGGAAAAAGTAAATGGCTACTTTTACCATTTACAAGGTTGAACTGTAAAAGTTTTTAGGGTCCTGATGAAATCAAAATAACAGTATAAGGGGTTTTTTTCTATAAGGTTTATTTACTACATGACAAAATGGCCTTTTTACTTGAGCGACTCTGCTAATGCTGCAAGAAGATCAATCAGATAACAAGCAAGGCATACAAGCCAAGCGCATAAATAGGTTATACTTGAGGGAAGGAGAGGCTTTCCACTCTGATGTTTTCTAGCTTTTATATTCATGTACTAGTAAATCATATAGTCGACTGTATCACATTCTTTCCTTCATATTTTCTGTCGTGTGCACAGCTTGCAGACCAATAATCACCAAATGAAGTACAGACTGGGTTCTTTCCCTGACTACATGGGGAAGACTTCTCATAGTACCATCACGAATACAGAGCACCTGGGCACCAGCACTTCACAAACAGCTATATACGAAATACAGCTGTAGATAACACTATGACATTGCTTGTGTGTGTCAGCAGGTCTGACTTAGACACTGTAACTAATAAGGACAATTAACTTCTTGCACACCTTATTTCCTCAATGCTCTGTGTCCTTACTGGAGTGTTGACTTCTCACAACTCAAGCTTTACAGTAATGGCATCGTCGCTGAACCCTTACAGTGATGAAGTTAGCTTGAAAAGCCTCTTCATATAGTTACTTTTTCCAAATTATCTTTGTTAAAACAGATTGCAAAAGTGAGAAAATAGTTAACTATGTTTTTGAAATGTTTTTCTTTTTCAGCTGACTGTGGAGGGCCAGTTGATCTCTGGGAGCCAAACAGTACATTCAGTTCTGAAAATTTTCCAAATGATTACCCTAATCGAGCATTTTGTAAGTCATTCTTCTCCAAGTCTTCAGGAAAAGTTTAGCTATATAAAAGTAGAGATACTAAATCTACTTTCCCAAGTCAGACATTGTCCATCAAAAAATTTCTAAGCTATATAAAGTGGGATCTTTCAACTGAAGCCTATATGTCACTTAGCAGAAACTAAAGAATCATGTGCCAGTTGATTAAAAAGTGATGAAAACAAGCACAATCCCTTGAAATGGGTTCAGAAAGGCCAATTTCATCATGCTTATTACGTCAAATGTCTTTATGTCAATGCAACAACAGACAAGGTGCTGAAAGTCCCCATTTTACCATTACACCTTGATATATTTGCCAGGTTAATATGTGTGTATTCATTTTGAAGTGGATCCTAAGGATCCTCTCTTTATTGGATGTTCCTTAGCATACTAGTGAAAATACATTGTTATTCTACTAACGTTACTTGATTTAGACTAAGCCACAGCTGGCAAAACGGAAAACATTTCAAGGTGGTCCACTACCTGCTGTTGACAGATGAAGCAAGGAAGAGAACTTTCTCATTGCTTCTTAATTAAATTTTAATTATTTATTACTTCACCTTTAAATGGAGAATTGTGTTGGGATGTTAATCACAAGAGTTGTAATTTTGTGTTTCTGTCCCATTTGAGGTATGGTTCTCATTTCCAGGTATTTATTTCACAAGTTCCCAAATGAGATTCCTACTTGTGAGAAAATACTTTTAATTCTATGAAGAGATTAAAAAATTGCTGTTTTTATTTTACTTTCTTTCCTTAAATGATTTTCTTAGCATACACACTTACATAGATTAAATATGATAAACATAGGCTAAACAGAAGCAAATACTTCTCTAAAAAGATATCTAACTTGAAAGACAGGCTTCTGTGACAGACTATAGAAATTGTCTTACTATCAAATAAGACTTAAGAGACAAGACTATTTGTCACATGTTCAGTTACAAAAAAAATTAGCTTTGCTAGTTAGCAATTCACAGTTGTCATGCATGGTAAAAAATGTATGTGTGTATGTCTTAGGAGCTTAAATCCAGTTTTCAAAAGGGATTTAGAGAATGAGAGTCAATTGAAATTTGGAACTTGACAGCGTAAGTTGTTTTTAAAGATAAGATGTAGACTTATAAGTCTCTTGGGTGATTCTTAATAGTTTAGCAGGTGTTTTTTTTTTTTTCCCCAAAATCCTTCAACATGAAAATGACACAGTAAATATAACAAGTGAAAAGGTGATTTTTGTGTCTGTGTTATTATTTTCTAGGTGTGTGGTACTTAAACGCTGAACAGGGAAAAAACATTCAACTTCATTTTCAGGTTTTTGATCTGGAAAATATTAATGATGTAGTTGAAGTCAGAGATGGCAGAGGACCGAATTCCTTACTTTTGGGCAAGTACCAGAACTGGGTTCTAAAATGAATGCAATCAGACAGCTGTAGCAAACCAATGGATATAATATAAAAGAAAGTTAATTATCTCTAATTTAATTCTACATTTCTTCACATTTTTGGATCTCAAAAATTAGGAGGAAAACTCAAGAAAGCATACTGTATGTGACATCATATTTTGCGAATGCTTGCACACACTCAGCTTTCTACGCAATTCAAATGAAACTAACTTCATAATAAATAAGACGGCTCATGTATATGGACAAACAGAAGCATAATCTCTTAGCTGAACCTTATTTTCTATACTGATGTGTCAAATTTGGGACTGAGCTTTGATCATTGCAGTCTGATAGCAGTTATGTTTGGGGGAATAACTGTATTCATGTGGTAGCAGTATTTGCTTTTGAACCCAAAACACTGTGAAATACATAAGAACAAAATAGCTTAAATACATTCATGTTCTCCTGGACAACAGCTGTCTATACAGGACAAGGCCCATTGCCAGATGTCTTCTCTACAACAAACCAGATGACAGTAATCCTCCTTACAGACAAGTCTGAAAGAAAGAAGGGATTTCTCGCAAACTTTACGACTGGCTACCATCTAGGTAAGCATATGAACCCTTGTATTTAAAAGGTTATACCACTGGTCAAACACATTTGAGAAAAAGTGGAGAGTGGAAGGTGACTCTCAGCCTTTGATCAACAGATAATATGAAAAAGTTAAAGAGAAAAAGCCTAGTGTTTACCCATCTGTCCCTTATGTTTCTAGAAAGAAAAGTGATGATTTTGTTGCTTTACAGACACATTTTCTGTATCACAGAATCATAGAATCATTAAGGT